CTTGTTTCCAAAACAAGCCAATTTTTTCAAAATCCAATTATCACATGGACAGAAAGTGAGGTGAAATCTTCTGAACAGGGAAGCAGACAGCAAAAAAACACCCTATTCTAGGTGTAAATGCAATTAAAGAATGTCTTGATTTTGATATTAACGATGATGAAAATTATTGAAACCATATGAAAAACTCATATTCTACCAAGGAATATTGTTCTTTCTGTGTTTTTACTGTAGTGTCTTTAGTTGGTCTTGAAAACCTACTTGTTTTGTAAAAATGTAGACTTACAGTATGAGGACATTACTTCTAATGTCTTCTAATTACTTCTAGAAAAGAGCATATTAGAATGTAATTGTGTCAAAGCATGTGCTTCATTTAGTTCTGAGTATATATTTGCTAGTACCACAGCTCATACAGCAATATAAGCAAAATAGCTGATCAGCATTCCCTCTTTATTAGTTTTATTTTAGATAACCCTTTCAGCCATTTCTTATTAATCTTGCTCTCCAGGATTACCTGGATGAAACAATTTTTATAAGCTAATCATCTGTGGACAATTCTATCAAGTGACTGCGTGAACAGCTATTTATAATTTTTCCACTGCATCAGAGGCTTTTGTGCTATGTTATTAGGGTATCTGCCCTCTAAACTAATATGCAAAAGTTCCAGTATTTATGGCAGGCTTCAGCATCTTCTCTGAGAACAAGGTTCATGTAAGAATTTATGTGTAGTTGCACGAGATCCACAGCTTCTGCTCTATAACAACATGTAACTATTACCTCAGAATGGTCTTTCCTGTGGATGTAAAGTAAGAATCTATGATATCTTTTTATGTAAGATTTAGATAGTAGACTGTGACCCCTTAACAGAAATATATTATGAGATAAAGGATTATAGAACATCAATAGATGGCGAGTATTGCACTGTATGCAACAAACACTTGCAAATTTATGTTTACTTAAAATAAAAAAAAAATTAAAAAAAAGAATGGTCTTTCCTTAATTACATTGTTCAGTTTAATTTTTGTAGACTTTCTTACTATAAAAAAGCTTGCTATGGAAAGAAACTAACCTGGTGAATATTTAGAAATGCTTTGTTTGTACATATCTGTACATATTCATAGAATTGTGTACATTTGAGAATTCAGGGCGATTTTGGCATCTGAGGAGGTTTCATAATTTGCGGAAATGTTTCCTGTAATCAGTGGGTCATGCTTTGTTCTGAATGGCATGATTGAAGAAAGAGGAGCAAGTCAATACTAGCATCATATGCATTCTTGCTTCTTGCATATTGTGTGCCCACGTTTTGCTTTGTTCAGTACAACTATTTTGATTCACACTGATATTGCCATTATAAAGTCAAGTTGGACAATGCAATTGGAAAATGATTTTAATAAGGAGGTGCTGATGATTTATGTTTTTTATTGTTTTTATGTGGTTTTTCTATTTAATGCTAAATGTTTTAATTGTATTTTATATCTGTTGGGGCATTGAATTGTTGCCGCCTTGAGTCACCTTTGGGCTGAATACAAATGCAATAAATAAATAAATAAATAATGAATTCTCAAGGCGGGGAGGGATTTAGAAAACTGGAGACAATACTCATGACATGGCAGTCAACATAGTTGTGTTCTGCAGTACTCTTTAAACATTTTGGTACCTCAGCTTTATAAATGTGTATGCCTAGCTCAGGACGAGGATCAATATTGTCTAGTTAAAGAGTATACTATATATAATCTTGCTGAAACATTAAATTTCTGTATACAGGCAGTCCCTGAGTTGCAAACATCCGACTTACAAGCAACTCATAGTTAAGAATTGGGGTGAGACAACAGAAAGTGAGAGAAATCTACTTCTTGGAAGTAAAATTCACTCCTGAGAAGGTTATCAATTGTACAAAATGTCTCAGCTGAAGCTTTTGTTACCAATCCTTGTTTCGACAACAATGTATTTTTTTTTAAAAAAAATATTTTATCACAGGGACAGAAAGTGGAGTAAAATCTTCTGAACAGGGACACACAGACAGCAAAATAGACACTACTGGGATGTTGACCCTTCTGTATTCTGTCCAAAGCTTGCTCTCTCTCTCTCTCTCTCTCTCTCTCTCTCTTTCTATATATATTTGACTGGACTTAACGCTTAAAAATATACTTGTTCTGGTGTAGATACAAATTCAGCTGAAGAAGAAACCTACAGAACCTATCTTTTTCGTAACTTGGGGACTGCCTGTATATGTCAGCTTGGAGTCATCCTTGGACTCATCACTGAGCAGCTTGGGAGTGATCCTGGACTCATCACAGAGCCTGGAACCCCAGGTCTCAGCGGTGGCCACGGGAGGTTTTGCAGTTAAAACATGTGCGCCAGCTGCACCCGTATCTTGGGATGTCTGACTTGGCCACGATGGTCCATGCTCTGGTTACATCCCAAATAGACTACTGCAACGCACTCTATGTGGGGTTGCCTCCGAAGACGGCTCGGAAGCTTCAGCTAGTTCAACGCTTGGCAGCCAGGATGCTCATGGGAGTGGGGTATAGGGAGTGTACAACTCCTTTGCTATGTCAGCTCCATCGGCTGCCTATTAGCTTCCGGGCTCGATTCAAAGTGCTAGTGTTAACTTATAAAGCCCTAAACGGTTCCAGTCCAGTTTACCTGTCTGAATGTATCTCCATCTATGAACCATCTAGGACCATAAGATTATCAGGGGAGGCCCTGTTCCTGGTCCCACTGCCATCGCAGTCGTGTTTAGTGGGGATGAGAGACAGGGCTTCCGTGGTGTCCCCTCGACTGTGGAACTTCCTCCCTAATGAGGTTAGGGAGGAAGTTCCCTCTCTTCTGACCTTCTGGAAGAAACTTAAATCCTTGTTATGAGATCAAGAGTTTACAGAATAGTTGTTTTACTGGGAAGACAAGATTTTATTGGACTGTACTTGGACTGTTTTGGGCGACGATTTTAATATGGCGATTTTAATATGGCAACCTAGTTCTAATGTATATATTTTAATTATTTTAATGTATATGGATGTATTTATTATGTTTTGTATGTCATGCTTGGCATTGAATTGTTGCCTGTTTGGAAGCCGTTCTGAGTCCCTCCTCGAAGGTCGAAAAGGACGGGGTATAAATGCCTGAAGTAAACAAACAAATAAATAAATATGTACAGACATAAGGTGATGCAGATTGGGGAAAAACTGTACCTATCTATCTTTTTTAAGGGACATGCATGAACGTGTAATCATAAAGATGAAAAAACTAAAAAAAAATCCTGAATGAATGGCTCATGAAAAAGTGGCTATTCATAAAAGGTGATATCATAGTAACTGAATGGAAAACAACTATAAGTGTTAAATCTACATAAAAATAATTTAAATGTGAAATATAATCAGTAGTGTGTATTTTCACATTTTAATTTTAATGAGATTTCCAGATTAGTCAAAACTACTTTGAGCACAAAATATTCTTGAGGACAAATATGTTGTTTTGCTCCGGAACTGTGGTGCAGCTGTCGTGAGTGTCAGCTGCATTAAGATCACTTCTGATCACAAGGTCATGAGTTCAAAGCCAGCCCTGGTGGGAGTGAGCTTCCGACCAATTGTGTAGCTTGTTGTTGACCTTTGCAACCCAAAAGACAGTTGCATCTATCAAGTAGGAAAATTAGGTACCACCTATGTGTGGGGAGGCTAATTTAACAAAATTTACGAGGCCATAAAAAAGACTCCAGCAAAGCACTCCAGTAAAAGCATGCAGGGAATGCGGAAGTACTTCATCAGTGTCGCAGATGGACGATGAAAGCGACAGCTCCCCTGGTGGCCAGAAAAAGTTAAATAGCCTCTGATTGTTGTGTGTCTTTGGCATTGAATGTTTGCCATATATGTGTACATTGTAATCCGCTCTGCGTCCCCTGCGGGGTGAGAAGGGCAGAATATAAATACTGTAAATAAATAAATAAATAAATGTTTATTATATAAATTGACATGATTTTAATTTCTCTTTTACAAGGACCCCTTTTATTACACTTCATGAACAGCATTATTGAATCTCTGTGTCTTTTAAAGTTCTTTTTTTTAAAATAGTGCTCTGAAGATTACTAGCTGAATATTTTCACACAATCCAATATAAAATATTTGTTGATGTGATGTGAAGTTACTTATAATAGAAAAGATGACATGACCATCTAGTCCAACTCCCTGCCATGCAGGAAAAGCACAACCAAAGCACCCCCTACAGATGGCCACCCAGCCTCTGTTTAAAAGCTTCCAAGGAAGGAGTTTCCACTGAAATGACAATATGCGAGATTTTCATTATCTAACTGTGTCATGAAAATCTCTTTTGCCATTTAAATAAAGTAACACTTTGGAACTCTGCGTATCTTGCATTATAGAAGCCAGGAATATGTTCAACAACTATTATTTCATAAAACTCTATAATGGTAGGTGTGGATGGGGGAAGGCTAACAGTTGATTAATATAGAGGCCTTATATCATTGTGATAGCTTAATATCACAGTTATGTAATCTGGTCTCTCTAGTCAAGGGTCTTACAGGTTTTACTTAGTAGAACTTCACTGGAGGGAAATGATTAAAAGTCCTTTTGGGAATAGTTGGGTTTCACCTCTCAAATTGTGGTTCTCTTAAAAACATTTTAGCCAATGGATACTGAAGTGAACATGAAATAATTAATACAAAATAGTCTGGATTGGAAAGCAACCTTTTATTCTGGTGTAAAAGCATAGTTTTTAATCTGTATTACTTCTTATTTTCTCAAGATCTTAGCAGACAAATGCATATTAAAAATATTTTGAATATTTTGTGGGTTCCAAGTGAACTGAAGTTACAGGTCAGCAGGAATATTATTTTAGATAAGAAAGTGTGTTTTTATTTTTATGAATTCCAGTCCATTTGCTACTTCTGTAGTGAAGTAAGGGCTACAGGATTTGTTGTTACTTAATGTTACATATGCAGATGCATTATTATGTAAAGTTGATTTAAAATAATATACTTCCTTCTACAGGCCCAGAATATTCCTCATCGGGATGGTTGCCTGGTCCTGATCCACTGTGGCAAGCCACAACTGCTCCATCAAGCGGTCGGAGTAGTCACATCAGGAGGCACAGCATAGCTTCTGACAGTGGGGACACTGGCATCGGGACCTCTTGCTCTGATAGTGTGGAAGGTGAGTAGGATTTGTTTTAAAACATGCAATAGTCCACTGTGTGATTACTATGAAACTAATGCTACTGAGTTCAACAAAGCTTATTTCCAGGGAAATAAGAGTATTGCTTTAATTTTTTTAGTCATCTTTCATTCCTCTGTGGGATATACACATAAGCTTGCACCATAAGCACAAAAGCATAAAAATTAAAAGGGAATTCTGAGGAAAACAAAGTGGTTAGAAAATGTGACCAACAAGGAAAACCTACAGGTACTTGAATAATTTAACATAGAGCAAAATGTGTTAAGGATTGAAAGTTTGCACTGCAAGTATTTTAAAATTTCTAAAAGGTATTGATAAAGGTGAACTCTGTAATTTTATTAATGTAAAGTAGGACCCCAAAATAGTGAACTAAGTTTTAGTTTGCATTTGATTTAGTTACAATCAGAAAGCAATCAATTTCTGGATTACAATTTGTAACAGTGCACTGAGTAGCCTTTATCTTTGGAGATTTTCTAGAAGAAACTACTGAAGTATCTAATTATTACACACGTATTGAGTACTTCATGCCAAGCGAGTTTCTGCTTGGTTTGGCCTTTTACTGCTTCATTAGAGAACTAATTTGTTAAAGTTTGTTTTTCGTATGTGGTCACTGGTGCATTGAATGAGCAATGAAGTGATCAAATGGCAACTTGGTGGCTACAAATTAGCTTGGTTGCAATTTTTTTTATTTTGTTTCTCCCAGGCATGTTGCTCTATGGCACATCACAGCACAAGTCTTCAGTTGTCTCTAGATCTGAAAAGCCATGTCATTACAGTGGGTTGAACTTTAAGGTCTGACAACCTTGCTTAACCTTCTCTTGTTACTGCTTGTTTTCCTGTTTTACTTGCAGAGGAAATAAAACACTTATCAGTTCTGCTGATGCAACTCATCTATTTTGTTTTCGTGCTGTTAGTTTAAACCATGCAGTTTTTTTTCCTGTCTTAAATTTTTGCATTTGACTGTTTTTCAAAGGAATAGGAAAACCTTACGAGGCATAACAGAATTCCATATCAGCTCATTGGATTGGTTTTTTTTTCTGCACTAACTAGACTTTATGAAATCTTTTTGAAGAAATAGTAGGGTTGCAGTGCATTTTATGATGTAACACAGGTATCCTGCCAGGAAGATTTTTATTTTCAGGCTAATACTTGGCTGTTTGGTCTCAGTTGCAATGCTGAGGAGGCTGCTTTAATTATTGATAACAGAAGTTGCTGTTAAACAACCTTAGAAGATACAAGAAATAAAATCAGAGTTCGGCCATTCAAGATCTTAACAAAGATGCATATGAATGTGATCTGAAACTCTGCTCAGAATAAAACACTATTTCACAATAATGAGCAAAATCTTTGATAGTTCTTTTCTTCTTCCTCATCAATAAAGCTGTTCACTTTTGGAGGACAGCTCTACAATTTTCAATATTATTGGGGAACAGTACCAAATTTAAAGCATTCCTCCCTTTTTGTTAATTTAAAGACACAGACTTAGCTACAACTGACACTACATTTGTAGGCCTAAGGGATTGACAATAAATAGCAAGCGCTGTTGGCTCGATTTCCTAGGAAGAAACTGGCAAATCGCTCCTGAGAGTTCTTTGCCTTAGAAAACATGAAATGTATAGGTTATTACAAGTTGACAGGAATTTGAAGATACAAATATACTGTACCATGACTACAAATAAAGATTATTATTATTATTAGAGCCTGTCACTGCCCCATCTTGTTCAGCAAATGTCACAGAACATTTATCTTATTCAAAATTTAATAAACACTTATGGGGAAATTGTCAAGTCACAATTTTTTGTGAAGTAAAAAAAGTGCCAACTCAGTAGGATGGAAGATGAGAAAATAAACAAAAAGGGAAAGTAAAATGGTATTAGCTGAAACATTTTTTCACTCCAGGTTGGGAATACAGCCAATATTCAGACTAAAAGAATCGTCCAGCTGAACTATTTCGAGTGGTCAGAGGACTATTACATACTGGTCCTCAAGGAGAAATCCCTGACCATTTGCAGCCCACTGAAGAATTTGCAAGGCACTTTGCAGAGAAAGTTGCTCAGATCCTTTCTGACTTGGATGCTGTTATTGATACAGTTCCAATTGATGTAACTTTGGCTCCTGCTTGTCCAGTGTTGATGGATACCTTTCAGTTTGTGCAACCTTAGGAAGTGGACAGGATTCTTGGAGAGGTGAGAGCTATCACATGTATTCTAGATCCTTGCCCTTCCTGGCTGATCAAACAGGGCAGAGTGGGTGGTGGTCAGTGCCTCCTTAGAACAAGGCAAAGTTCCAGCTTGTCTAAAAGAGGCAGTTGTTAGACCTATATTAAAAAGCCATTCCCGAACCCTTCTATAATAGACAACTTTCCCAGGTTTCAGTCTCTCTTTCCCATTTCAGTCTTACCCCCTTTCCCTTTCCAGTTTTCCCATTTTTCCAGCCCTTCTTTTTCACTCTGGTCTTTCTCATTTTCCCAGCCCCCTTTCCCACCTCAATCTTTCCAACTTCTCTGCGTTCTTCTTCCCACTCTAGTCAACTTCTTCCCACTCTAGTCTTTCCACATTTCAAGCCCCCCCCCCTTTTGGATCCCAGTCTTGGGATCCCAGTCTTTTGCAATCTTCCTTTCCCCATCCCAATCTTTTTCCAGCTGTCCATCTTTCCCACCCCAATTTCCTCAGCTATTCCCAATACCCCCCTTCACACTCTATACTGGGGGTCTTTCCCATTTTTCCTGCCCCCTTTCCATCCCAACCTTTCCCAGTTTCCAGCCCCCCTTTCATACTTCAATTGTGTCCCCTTCCCCAGTTGCCCCCTTCCCACCCTAATCTGTCCTACTTTTCTAGCTACCCCTTTTCTACCTAATTTTCCCACTTTTTCAACCACCCCTTCCCATTCCTCCTCCGCAAATAACCTGCTTCTCCTTTATCTCACCAGAGTTTTTTAATCGGTTTTTAATTAGTTTCTCTTTTAATCATTACATGTAGCCCGCCCATTGTCACTGTGATTGTGTTTATTGTAATTTTATATCGTTATGCATTCATATGTTTTATGTAATTAAGATGCTGTTGTTTATTGTTTGTGTTTTTAGTTTTATTCTKTTGTAATTTGTTGTTTGGGCTTGGCCTCATGTAAGCCACCCCGAGTCCCCATTGGGGAGATGGCGGTAGGGTATAAATAAAGTTTATTATTGTTGTAGTTGTTGTTATTATTATTCCAACCTTTCCCTGTTTCCAGAGCTTTTTCCCCTTCCCCTTCCCACGCTAGTCTTTCCCACATTTCCTTATTCATGTGCACACAGCATTTTCCCCAAAATGTATAATTAAAATAAACTATGGGGATTATTGGAAGGCTGCATAAGCACATTTACACTGAAGAAGGTTAGAATAATGATTTAGTTGGACAGCCTTATCTTAAATTACAGTTTTATGTAAAGTTGCCTACCTTACCTACTTTCTTTAAGGAACATGACATTGAACCAGACAAAAGGATTAGGATGATAATTTCTATGAAATTTATGAGGGAGAAACTTAGCTACACCATGAAGTTGTTCTCGAGGTCTTCATGGTGGTGGCAAGAACTGAGGCATTACTTTTCATCAGAAAAGACCGGAACCTGCCAACACTGTGGGGAAGAGAAGAAATTGAGACAAATCTGTTCTGTTGCTTGCTCAAAGGCAAAAGCGCCCTCTTGCAAACCTTGAATGGTTTTTTTTTTTTTTTTGGTCGTGTCAGGAGCAACCGCTCCTGTTGTGAGAGAATTGGCCGTCTGCAAGGATGTTGCCCAGGGGATGCCTGGATGATTTTTTTGATGTTTTATCATCCTTGTGGGAGGCTTCTCTCATGTCCCCGCATGAGGAGCTGGAGCTAATAGAGGGAGCTCATCCGCCTCTCCCCGGATTCGAACCTGCGACCTGTCGGTCTTCAGTCCTGCCGGCACAGTGCTTTAACCCACTGCGCCACCGGGGGCTCCACCTTGAGTGGTATCTGCATCCCAGAAAGACTTAGCCTGGCCCCTCACCGCTGCCAAGTTGTGCTGACCTATCTTATCTCATTGATACTTTCAACCGAACACCTCTATTGCTTGTTTTAATGCTTCGTTATGTTATTCTTGAAGTACCATGGAGAAAACATCACACCAATAAACCCTTTTGCCTGTTTTGCTCCTCTTCCTCCCCCACATAATATTTTAGGTAGCACAGAGGAGCACCTAGCTGTATCTTCTTTGTATAACACAAATCATTTAAATGTGGGGAGGGGCATATAGAAATGTACAAGTGAGCAAAGGATTACTCCTGCCCTCTCTTTCTGTTCTCTCTCTCTCTCTCTGTTGTTTAATCTCTCTCATTACCATTGTTTCACTAGTATCTTGCTCACCAATTTAAAAAATAATTCAGAGTAGAAAGTGGTGTTCTTCTTAGATACCTACAATTTCAGTGCCTTTTTATTTATCTTGATGAGAAGCAGCACACCATAGAAAACTTAATTTTGTTAAGGAAGGAAGTTACCAAATTACAATACAGAAGAGTCATGAATATGTAAATATGATGCGCAGTGAATTTAACATATTATTAATTCTAATTTATTATTCATTTATTTATTTACAGCTTTTATATTCCGCCCTTCTCACCCCACAGCGGACTCAGGGCGGATTACAGTGTACACATATATGGCAAACATTCAATGCCAATTTTTAACAATCAACATATACAGACATACACTGAGGCTATTTAACTTTTTTTTTCCTGGCCGCCAGGGAAGCTGTTGCTTTAATCATCCATCTGCGACGCTGATGAAGCACTTCCGCATTCCCGCATGCTTCCCTGCTGGAATGCTTTGCTGGAGTCTTCTTTATGGCCTCATAAATCAGTTAATTTAGCCTCCTCACACTTTAAGGTGGTACCTTATTTTCCTACTTGACAGATGCAACTGTTTTTCGGGTTGCAAAGGTCGACAACAGGCTACACACAATTGGTTGGAAGCACACTC